CCCTGACTTCTCCCCTGAGCTCCAAACTGATACATCCAACTGCCTACTCCATGTGACGGGTGTCTCCATGTGGCAAAACGGGATTTTAGATTGACACTCCCACACAAACCTGTCCAGTGACTTTCCCCTCTGGGGGATTGTAATGCATCATCCCAGTTGCAGTCCAAAAGCCATGAGTTGTTGTTTTTTCCAATCTGACCAAGTATAGTAAAGTCTTTAAATATGTATCTTTAAAAAAAGGAGAGAAGGAAGGAAGGAAGGAAAAGAAGAAAGGAGGGAGGGAGGGAGCTGTCCAAATCACAGGTCAGTGCAATCTTTCCCCACTGACCCCTAGTAGGGAGATTCTCCCCCACCCCCACTCCAGCATCGTCTTCCCTTAGGACCCTGTGACCTCTCCCCCAATGAGCGGCTCCTGAGCCCTGCATGCCACAGGGTCAGCAACATCCCTGACTCCCAGTCCACGTGGTACATGCCTGCTCCTCTTGATCTCCTCCATGACAGATAGAGCTCCCTATACCTCCGTCTCTGGCAGTGGGGCTACCTTGCACTCCCCATAATGGGGAAGGGATTCCCCCAGTGCCCAGGGTCAGAGTAGAGGAAGCTGCCAGGAGTGGAAGGAGGGAACTGAACCAGGCAGGGCAATGGGAAGAGGTGGTTTAGTGACAGGCTGAGACTCAAAGCCCCAATCTGGCCTCAGGGACAACAAATCCTAGCTGAGATCCACACAGCTTAGGAATGTGGCAACACCAGGCCATGGGCCAGGCAGAGGGCCCTGCTGAAGATGCCTGGAAATCCTCCTTAGCACCATTGGCTCAGGTGGAAGATGGAGTCTCCAAAACAATTTGGGATTGAAGGAGGGTAAGTAAACGTCAGGCCTAGTAAAATGCCTCTCCCTATCCTCGAGCCCCACCCTCAGCATCCACAGGGCTGACAGTGGAAGGGGGACTGATGGCCAGGCACTGCCACAGAGAAGGGAGTGAGCCATGAGCCAGCTGTGTCCTGCAGGTGCCTGTGACAGGTCTGTGGGGCAGGTAACCAGGCAGGTAAGGCAGAGTTTGTGGGACAGTTGTGTAACCAGCAGGCAGGTGTGGGTGACCTGGGCAGGTCCACCTGCACAGCAGACGTGGAGGAGAATGTGCGCGGGGTGTGAGGTGATGGGAGTGACAGGTGGATATATAACAGGCATACAAACACCACTCACTACTGACCACTTCCCTCAGAAGTGCCAGGTATACCAGGGCCACAGTGCCCCAGCCCCGGCCCGGGAGGCTCAGAGGGGCATGATGTCCTTGGGGAGCCTCCAGGCCCTCTGCCCTCCAGGGGAACCCTCCTCGCAGGTCAGGAAAGGGCCCCCTGGGACACACACCCTAGGTGTAGGGAGGGCATCCCAGCAGTGCCCTCAGGGCCAGGGAAGAAGGTGGAAGAGCAGGGGCCCTCCTATGCCAGCTGTAGTCCCCTTGGGCTCTCCAAGGGCCTAGACACTTTTTGGTTTCTCTGTCTCCAGGAACCAGGGATTTGGGGAGCCTCCCCACCCCCACCTTAGGCCATATGACCCCTCCCATCCTTGAGCCCCCTGACCCAGGCCTGCTCCCAGCAGTCCCCACAGTCCCCCAGGGCATGTGTACATACACACACACTTCTCCCAACCAGGCCCCCACTACACCCATTCAGGGTGCACACACACCACAGGGGTCTTGCAGGGCAAGTCCTCCAGACCTGCGCTGGGCAGCTCCCCCCATTCCCAGATGTGTTCTCAGATCCCAACCCAAGGCTCTCCTGAAGCTCCTCAAAGGCTGAACCTCCTCCTACCCTCTCCCCTCCCCAGTGTAATACCTGAAATCCTTGCCGGCCTCCTGGCTAGTTGTGGGCTGCCAGACACTTAAGAGACATGACCTAGCTTTTGATCAAAGGAAAAAACTTCTTGGCGTCTGCTCAATAGGAGCCCACAGAGCTGGAGACCAGCCTTGGGGCATGGCTGTGACTGGGAGGAGATGCTGTGAGCACAGCCCCACACCTCACTCCACTCACCCCGACTGCTAGCAGACAGGCCCACAGCTCCCCAGACCTCTGCTGCTGTAAGTCCCATGCCCGGCCCCTCCTGGACCCCTCCAGAGCAAGGCCACATGAGGCACTCAAGTGAGCCTGCAGTTCAGCAAGCTCCATCTGTTTCTTGACCAGAGGCGCAGGAGGCACTGACCAAGGAAGAAACGGGGGGGGGGGG